CCTCTGTGTCGGATGCAGCAAAGCCCTGGGCAGTCCCGTTCCCTGCACCACCCCCCAGCTCAGGGTCCCCACGCTGACCCCAGCCCCCATGCGAGCACACGCTCCCCGTGCCCCACGCTGGCCTTCGCAGCCTTGCACCTCTTCCCGTTTCTGGCTGGGGCTGTTTCCTGCGCCCTCCTCTTGCACTGCCGGCAGCACCCGGGTGCAAGGGCTGAGCCCCCACGGCGTCCTGGGCAGCACTGGGAGCAAGGGCTTGGTTCCTGCTTGTGCTCGGCAGGCATTAACCGTCCTGTGAGGAACCCTGCCTGGCTGGGGCCTGGGGAGGTTGGGAAGGGGCTGGAGGGGAGTGAGCCTGGACTGGGGCTGGGTGCTGGTCCAGGCTGGCTCAGGGTCCTCATGTGGAGGGCAGGGTGGCAGGAGGGGTCCTGTGGGACCTCAGGGCTCCCGGTGCCACAGGGTGTGCCGGGGCCAGCACGAGGGGTCCTGCTGAGTGGTGCGGGTCCTGGAGCATCGCAGTATGAGCTGGCCCTGGCTGGGGCTGGCAGTGGGCACAAGCAGCGTCCCAGCAGGGACCCCCTGGGTGCAGGCACGCCTGCAGAGGACTGTCCACTGGAGCAGGGTGCGGCCGGTCCTGGGGCCAAGCCAGAGCTGCCTCCACCAGACAGCTGTCACTGTCCCCAGGACCAGAAATAGCGGCAGGACTAACCGCAGCCTGGCCCGGTGCAGCCTGCGCCGCAGCAGGAAGCGTCTGGCCGCCAGCGAGCTCCTGCGCTTCCACCACCTAGCTCCTCTCCCCGCCTCGCTGCCCCCGCTGTCCCGCTCTCCCCGCTGCCCCGCTGTCCCCACCGCCTTCGCTGCCCCAATCCTCCCGCCGCCAGCTCCTGCTGTCCCCAGGTACTGACCCTGGGAGGGCAGTGCTGCTGCTCTGGGTGGGGGCTCAGCTGGTGCTTGCCTCTCCATGCTGCTTGTGGTGGGAGCGGGACCACCGGGCTTGGCACTCACTAGGGCCCATGCAGCTGGGCTGGGTGCCCGGGGTGCCGGTAGCAGGCAGCATGACGGGGAGGATGCCGCAGTGGCCGGCACTGCTCTGCCTCTGCCTCACACCGTGACCTGGCCCTGGGCCTGCTCGAGGGTCTCATGTTGTTTGTGTGCCACTGGGACCCTGCACTGTCGGGGCTGAGCGAGGCCGGCCGTGGGGCACGGTGCCCCGGGGGGGCTGTGCTGGGTAAGGGGGGGTCTGGGTGAGGGACCCCCACTCATGGCTCCCCGGCCCCTCTCCCTGCAGCTGTGTGGAACTTCCCGCGCACCAGCGAGCATCACCTCCCGCTGCAGATCGGGGAGACGGTGCACATCCTGCAGGCCTCCGAGGGTAAGGGGGTCCAGCAGCCCCGGCCAGGCCCCATGCCGTCCCCTCCCGGGGGGAGGCTGGGCTGGGTACGCAGCTGCACCCTGACACAGGGACTTCATGCACCCTCTCTTGGCTGCGCTGCCGGTGGGCACCAAGCCCTGCCCTGCCGCAGGCTGCCGGATCCCCAAGCCCGGCTGACGGCTTCCCCTTCCCTCCCCTTGCAGGCTGGTACCGCGGGTATTCGCTCAGGAACAGGGCTGCCCAGGTAGGTGAGGGGCTGCTGGGGGCCAGGGTGCAGGGGACGGTGTGGGCATGGCTGTCGGCTTGCCCTGTCCCTGCTGGGGGGACGTGTCAGGCACCTTGTGGCATTGCCAGGCTGGGACCCTCTGTGGGACCCTCGGTCCCAGGGTGGGGAGCCCCTGGCCGTGGCCCCTGGGGAGGGCTGTCTCCTGCCCAGCCTGGCCCGTGGGTGCTGATGGCTCCGGCTCTCCCAGGGCATCTTCCCGGCCTCGCTCATCCACCTGAAGAGCGTCGTGGTGGAGCGCAGGGGGTAGGTACTGGGCATGGGCACAGGTGAGTGGGCCCCATCCGCCTGCCTGGTGCGGGGGCCCGCG